GAATCTTAACTTTGACTCTTTCTCCAACTGCTTCTCGGTCAACAAACACGACTCTGCCAGGATACCATGCTAAGTCCTGTTTCCAGAACACTTCAATTCGACTACCCGCTTGCAAGTCTGAAGTATCAGAGGTCTCTATAACGTTTCGTGTCACCATGGCAGTGATCTTCGCGTTCTTTTCCAAGTGCAGTGAGATCAGTTCCCTCTCTGGAATTATTTTCGCATCGTTGTCAATCAGGTCAAGAACTTCCAAGGAAGAATTGCTCGCGATTTCTTTTTCCCTAAACAGTTCCTGTAAAACACTGTTGCTGTTCAGAGAGTCCTGCGTTCCTTCATTCTCTCCTGAATTCTTGATATGCCGAGACTTCCATGGGGATCTGCCTGACGCTATTGGATCCATACCGCTAACCGTTCTCTTTTGAGGCAAACGCCAGGAGAAATTTCGCTTTCTGCTGTCGTACGACTCGGCTGCCGAAATCATTGCTGCAAGCGGTAGCTGATCAAGAGATTTGGGATTATGTTTGCGAGTGTAATGCTGACGGACGTTGACCGGGTTGTTCTGAATGCCTATTGATGTACATTCAGGACATGCATAGCCATTTACGGAAGGCCTTCTGGCGGCTGTCACGGGAATGGTGGCAGATTCCCTGAATTGAATCGGATTACGTCGAGATGCGTTGACCCGCCTTTGTCTTGTTTTCCTTGTCTTGTTGAGGTTTAATGTCGTTGGGTTGGCTTTACGGGCATCACGGCGTTTTGGAGGATTTTTAGCCGGTTGGATGGGGACTGTCGGAGAACTGTTAACCTCCGCTACGTTTTTGACGATACCCAGGCAGCTGGATCCAGTGAGTGGGGAAGAACTAGATTGAGACTTCGAATCGCTGGTGAAAATAGTTTTCCCCGCGTCCACCACGACACTTTGTCGTACTGTCGGCTCATCATCTACTGGATCCTCATCCATATTTTGCTTAGGAAAATATATTTTAACACTGGGAGGGGGTGCTAACTCCACTTTGTCGCATTTCATCTTCAATGCAGACTGCATAGCCTTATCCACCTGCTTATGCAATATTTTTGTCAGCCCTGTCGAAGTTTGGTCCCTTCTTCTATCTATTTTTCGCGATTCAACAGAAGCAAAAGTGTTTAACATTTTTGAAAAATGGAAAAGGAATGCTGCAAGCAAAAGCTGCTCATCAGATTCTGTGACAGATTCCGCCAGTGCTCTGAATTGGCTCACAAGTTTAGCATATGCCACACGACCGCCATTTCCATGAATTGTGGACGGAAAAGTGGTCATCTGTAGCTGCACTCTCTTATCAATGCCCTGCTGAAAGTCATGAAAGTCATTATCCACTTCAGTGATCTCATCTTGATGGCAAAGCTCCATTTCGGACGCACCGGCTGCCGAAAGAGATGACCTAGAATCTACAACCTCGCCTTGGTTGAGGTAGGAATTGTGCATCCGACGTGAATATTGAGAAGGAGTTATCCATCTGTATGCGACGGCTTCCCTACAAATGCGCTCTAAGGCAGATCTGTATCGAGATGAACGTATGGACTGTAGCAAATCATCTTGGGAACGATCAATTTCTAAGCACAGAGCCATTGCATGCCGACAAGGAAGTTTTGTCCTTTCTGAATATAAACATTCGCATTTCACAAAAGAACGAGCTCTTCCCCGGAGCGCTTCATTTCGAAAAAACACGGCAGTCCGTGCAGCAGACTTAGCCCCAGCCCCTGCGCCGTACACATAACGTACGGATGCAGTCTTCTCAAAAAAAGCGTTCGTCACCTCACGTCGGCAGAGATTGAAAGCAGAATCCGTTTCTCCGAAGTCTTCAAATGAGGCTTTCATGCGTTCTGCAGCCGAAAGCTCAGTGGAAATTTCTGTGCAAGCAAACCTTGAAATTCCATCAGTTGCAAGAGATTTCAGAATAAACGAATCACGTGCCATGTCGGACGAACTGAGAGCAGCTGTTCGCCATTTGGCATTGATTGCTCTACGCTCCTTCGTGCCTTGTGTATGAACTAGATGTTGAATAGACCGGACCAACTTTGTGAGCGTCAAGCTGTCCTTATAACATTTGAGAACACTGTTCCAGCTTTCTGACCGAGCAGTAGTAGATGCACCTAAAGTAAACTGATCTTTGAAAAAGGCAATCGACCACTGTCTTCTCTTCGCCCAGACATATTTCGACAGGTATGATCTGGCCTTTCTATGTAACGCAGAATGAGTGAACCAATCGTCCAACATTTCATTCCAAACACGCTCGAGATCTTCTTCGGAAACAGCTTGTCTGCATATGCTGAGAGACTTACGAAAGCTCTCCCATGATGACGGACCAGCACTTAAGCTCAGAACGCTTTGTATCCTCCGCTTGACGTTCTGATCGAAGAGATGAAACGTGCAAACCAAATGCCTTATTTCGTCGGAGTAAGGCATCGAAGCGATTGCGATGTACATCGCCTCATCTCCATCAGTAAAGATTACCTTTGGCAATCTCTTTTTGAATGAAAGTTCCCAGGCTAGTAGCATTCTCTTGCAGTCTTCAGCCGCCTCCTCTAAGTTTAGGCTTAGCAGTACAGCGCGCGAGCATCCTTCAGAGTCAACCACGGTGAAAGACGCCAGCTTATAAGCATACCGGGTCATGTTGTGCGTGGAGTCCCAAAAGAGCAGATCTCCACAGCGGCGAACGACTTCTCGAGATCCTGCGTAAGACCAAGTCACACAACGCAAAACGCCGGTTTCATCGTCAAGAACGACTTGAAGAAACTCGAGCGCACCACTGGCTTTCTGCAATCTTAGAAAGGAGACTAAGTCCGAGGCATCTTTTTCATCAAAGCTTATATTCGCGATGACATTTTGTACAGTGTCAATAGGAATACTGATATGAGGAAACGCCTCCTTGAGATAGTTAAATGCTTTTGTTGTAAATCCTCTACCTCGAGGACTGATTTGAATGAAAGTTTCGAGAGCGGAACGAAGCTCTGGAACCGCGAGAACATCGAAAGTTCTACAGAGAAGCATGTTTTCAGGGCTCGAGCTGTCGCACTCGTGACCGTCGTGTTCTGTGGAAGATGAACGAATGACGCAGAATGACATGGCGGCACTCTTTTTTCCATTGACATCCATTAGTTCTGTAGCTTGAGTATTAATAGCTGAGGCGATTTCAGATGCATCCATATCTGTTTCCAGATTGGAAAGATACTTCTCGAGCGAGATCGTAGTCACACTTGCTGGGCAGCCCACCTTCTTCGACATTCTCGTTCAAATTCCTTTTCCACGGCTTTGAACTGCAACTCCAGATAAAGAACACCGCGCATAAAGCCTGCCGAGGTCTTTGCTCTTGCAGTTCCAAGAACATGAAATTCCAGTGTTGAGATTGGTTAGTTCACAAAGTGTACGCAGCGTCATAGAGCAGAATGGCACAACTATGTTTGGTTGGACACAGGCGAGGTGAGACGACGTAGGTGGCTTCGCGAAGTACACAATCACATCCGAAGCGGCCTCTCCTATCTTGACGTACCCTCCGCATCTGGCCTGAGTGAGTTCCTGACCCAAACCAAGCAGCTCGTCGTCATTCAAATCTTTTCGAGTTGAGTGAGAGGCGTTTTCACTAACGCATTTTTCTTGAGACATAAAAGCTGATTTATCATCTGCAGAACAATAATGATCACGCGATCTGGCATTCTGAAGGTCAGGTAGATCTAATGACGAAGAGCGAGAAGGTTCCTGGAGAGAAGGATCGGAGGTTTCATCGAGTTTGGATCTGTTCTCGGTTTTGAAAACCTCCATCCTCCCAGAATAACTCATGAATGCGCTTGCGCAGAGGGCGGCGGCGATGATGCAGAGGGCGGCGGCGATGATTTCTATTTTCAGCCTATTTTCAGCTTTCTATTTTTGCTTTCTATTTTTCTTTCTATTTTTCAGCATGCTATGGTACACAATTTCGAGTCTCAACACGGGCTACTTTAAGACTACGGATGGCCCGGGCTAACTTTGGATATATGCTGGACTGGGCCATCGTAGCAGCACCCGGGGGGGGATATATGCTGGACTGGGCCATCGTAGCAGCACCCGGGGGGGGATATATGCTGGACTGGGCCATCGTAGCAGCACCCGGGGGGGGGGGAACCCTAATGAAGGTGGCAATGTCCATTTGTAACGAACAAGAAAGATGGGAATGGGAGAATCCTTACATCCAACAAGCAGCAATTCCCTCTAACCTACTCAACATTCTCTACATCACAATGACGATATCTAACCTAGCTTCGAAACCAGCTTATCCCAATGTCGAATGCAACTATGACTAACGCACATGACCTTTATAATTTATCAACGTGGCGCAAGTTGCTTCACATGCACGTTATCATCAAAAAACGTGCAATGACTCGGTAAAGACATGGCAACGGTGACGGGATCCTCGTTTTTTGAATCTTGTGGCAATGTGGGAAATGTAACCAAATCGTTGGGGGCTGCAGTAGATTTCACTCGAGGGATTTAAGGTTAATCTTAAGAGCAACCATGTCCCTACATGAGCATTTGTTTGAGGTCTTCAGGAGGTGAAGTAAAATTTTCGTCGTAGACTCAGAAAGCAAGCTTGCTACGTTGTATACTTGAATAGGCGCTTCCCGCTCCGGAATTCACGGCATCCGGCTCAATGGTTTATCGACAGGTCCTCGTATTACTGTGATCCAGCATAGGAGTGAGTTGTGATGAGAAGAACAGATGGGCCTTCCTCTGTGCCAGCTATAATGCTACACCATGTTTTTACAACGACAGGTATGCTGCACCTGATTTGTGTTCTTAATGGACGCCCAGGGAGATGGGAAGGTCTCGACTTTGCTCGGAGAAGACATCTAAGCTCCCGTTAAGGTACTGCATCCCACTTCCGAAATCAAGATATCGCAACAAGAACAATTGCAGTCGCTGTTAACCTCAGTACAAGGCAAAAGCCATTGTATTGGTACTAAAGCTGAAGCGAACGGCATGAACAAGATATAGGAACGGACGACGAGAGACCCCGCGAAGTCAAGTTTACAATGTGAGCATTTCACAGAGCCTAACAAATCCTTCAGTTTCTACGTAATGCCCTGTGACAAGTCTGGATGATCGCAAGATCCATGCTGAACGCGGGCCAGACACTTAACGACAGTTAAGACGCTTCGCGCGCCTTCTTGAACGCTTCAAAGTAGGGGTTGTCACCGAGACGGACCTCGCTGGGAACGGTGATGTGGGCGTCGGTCCAGTCCTCGGTGAGCGGGGTGTCCGGAATGCTCCTGATCCTCTTGGAGATGTCCGCATGAATGACCTTTCGCGTTTCCTCGGGGATTTTGATTACGCTATCTGCAAGTGTGGTATTGCGGGAGAGGGGTAAGAACCAAGAGGAGCGCTGGTTAGTTGCTATTGAGACGAATGTGTAAGAACCGGAGACCGCTTGAATCGTGCGTTGAAAAGGCGTGGACGTGTATGCTCAAAACTAGAATGCGCTGAGCGAAAGAGTTCGACGAACTGCTTCAGCTCGGATTATGTCGATCTTGTTGATTGTAACGTCCGTAAAGACGATAATGATGGAAATCAAACGAGCACGCATGCCGATTCCCAAAGTGGCCTTTCCTGAACGTTTTGCGCCAACCGACGGTTGTATTACATACCAGGATCGCTGTAAAAGTTCGTGAGCTGGCTGGCAAGCTCAGCCGCTTGCGAGGACAAGCTGACGTGTGAGGGAGCCGGGAAGTCCATCTTGCTGGTATCCGTAGCTTGGCCAACGGTAGAGGCGATGGCCAAGTGCCGCCTCGGCACTGCGGCGGCCGCGCGGCGCAATGAAGAGGATGCGCGAAGGAGAGACATGGCGTGATCTGGGAAGGACGGGAACGCAGTTGCAGATGACCGGTGTGACGATGCCAGCGAGCATCGGCTGACCCTGTCCACTGAGGCTGTTTGGAGCACAAATGAGGGTCTCCGCAAAATGATTCACAGATGAGCCAGATTGGCGGTTGGCTAGGATTGGCGGTTGGCTAGGATTGCCAACTTTTTCCAGAAAAAATTTGGCAGTCAAGGGGCAGTACCGTGCCAGCAAGGTCACCAACGTATTTGTGCTGGTGTGCAGGTTGCTTTTTGTGTGGACCTCGCGAACCTTCGATTGAGACACTTTTAAGCAGTGCTTTCTTTCATCCTTCCACCTTACAGAGTTTCCGGCAGAACAGGACTTCAAGATGTTAGCTTGTCAAGCAGGGGTCAGGACGGCTGTCGCCACGCGACTATATCGGAGGATGCTCAGTGAAGCTGCTCGAGCGCATGCAGTGGAAATTACTCCAACATGCGTCAAAAGGCTGAAGGAATTGCAGGAACAACGTCGAAAGAATGTTGCCCTTCGAGTCACCGTTGACGGAGGTGGGTGTTCAGGGTTTCAATATGCTTTCGATGTTGAGAACTGGGAAGTCGCACCTGACCAAAAATCACTAAAGAGTGGCAATGATGTCCTCTTCGAGAAGGACGGCGCCGCCGTCATCGTGGATAACTTGTCTTTGGCCTACATCTCTGGTTCCAAAGTCGACTACATTGAAGAGATGATCAGCTCGTCATTTCGAGTAACGGAGAACCCAAACTCCGAGACTTCTTGTGGCTGTGGGACATCCTTCTCGCCCAAGTTGTGAGATCGAATTGAACCTGTGTGCTACTTAAGTATTCATCCACCTTTCCAAATAATATTCAAGTAACTCTCGACAAGCTTTCTTCGGTCTATTGACGGGTTTATTTATCAACGAGGCACTAAGCTGACCATACCCCAAGGTCATGCTATCTATAAGCTCGCATCGCGGCATGAGGATTTAGCTTGGCGTCACGAATATACGGAAAGAGTGCCGCTCTGGCCATAGCACGGGCCTCATCATCTGTCGGCTCCCGCACGAGCACTGCGGCCAAACCTGAACGATCGATTTCCATCCACGGTAGCATCCCCGCCGGATCCGGATCGGACAGGATCCAAGACGCTCCCAACCCCAACTTCGCCCGAAGTTCTGCGGCTTCGCGAGAGGCTTTCAATGCATGTTCCTGATGACGATCCCTGACCGACACTACATCACCGGGTCGCAGGCGATTGCCCTTCATATTCACAGGGCGCCCGTTGACCAGGATCTGAGCGTGGTTTATCCATTGCCTTCCTTGCATTGGCGTTTTTACAAGACCTGTTCGATACAGAAACGTGTCCAACCTTAATTCGAGAAGGCGCAGCAACATAGCATCTGTGTTTCGGCGGCAGTTTCTGGCTTCGTCGACATACCGCTTGAACTTTTTATCGCCCATCGCACCATAGTAAAGCTTCATTTTTTGCTTCTCGAACAGATGTGTGGTGAAGAGCTGCCCACCTGCTGACTTGTTTCGTACAGGGCGAGGTGGTTGCTCTGAAAAGAATGCTCGTGGGATACCACCAGGTACTTTTGTGCGACGCTCCCGTTTCCCTGAACCATCCTCTTTTCCCTCAGCACTCGCCGCAGCACCAGTAGCCTCGCCACGACGGCGTCCAGAAGCATGTTTCCCCGCAGATCCGCCGTCTGCATTTACTCGCAAGAAATTGGCATTGCCGAACAATCTTCGAAGGTTGCGAAGTTTGTAGTCAACCGGCATTATTCAGAAAATATTGGCAGGAGTTAGCGGACAGAATCTCAGCCAGGAGGATCAAACCAGTTGAGGGAAGATCGGAGTTGTGTAGCGCTGGCTGGCTTCAGAGCGCAAACATTTGTGGGAAGACGATGCTGCGGACTCCTGTACCAGGTACAGTCGACCCTACGCATTAGTGCCGCCCTGTGTAAGGATTAATAATACGGCACTAATTCGGAGCGGCACAATCAGAAAGCAGAATCACTACCCGGCCAGAACTCTGTCATTAGAGTCTGTTGTTGTTGCTTTGACCCTGTCTCTCATGCCTAGCTTCTAGAAAAGCTCGTTTTGCGGACCTCAAGTGCGAAAAGGCATTGCTCACATCGCACTCCACACCCAGACTCTCCAAAGACCCAAACAACCTTGCTAGCACTACAGCACTCAGTACGGCCCGCCTCTCCGTAATTTCACACTCGTCTTCAGCCACACAATCATCCATCATAGCATCACTGGCAGACTGATTCTGTAGCTCTCCACCATAATGTATTGAATCGCAAGCATCACTAATAGAAGCTTCTGCCACAAGCTCATTAGTCTCGATCTCAATCCATTCCTCCACATCTTTCCTGCAGAATTCTGCAGTTTCTGCAAGGCCGTCTTCTGGCACCAGGCTCAGTCGGGAGAGAAACCCTACTATACCATCCACCATAGATTTATCAATTTCTGTTTCATTTCGACCAACTTTCCGACCTGCAGCAGATGCCCAACCTCGATTTTCTGTGCAATCGTAAGGCGCGTACGCTTCGCTTTGGCGATCTTTTCAGGATTCATGTTAGGGTCTTTGAGTGAGGTGCCATCACGCCACCAATTGAGCTGAGGCGCATAAGGAGTGGCCGATGACGACGTCGTGCATGACACGTGGCAGAACCTGTGTCTGCCGGTTTTGGCGGCACTAATTCGAGGGTGGCAATAATGAAAGCGGCACTATTGTGCGTCCCCCCCTGTACAGTACTGCTCGTGTACGTACCTCTGTCATCTAAATCAGCATTTTTTAGAGTGGGCAATTCCTGATAACTGGCAAATGTTTTATCAAATATTTTGGGTTCGCCTAAAACCCGAAACTAGGAAGAAACAAGTGCCAACTCGAACGGCACATGACAAGTACATATGTAAAACACCATTTAGGCAAAACGATTTGAGCTTCTCAATGATATGAAATCCAGCCTATTCCAGTGAGGGTTGGGAACTCTGACATTGTCGTTCAAAGGGACCGTTACTGCCCACAGGCGCTTCTGACCTCTTTCAACAAATGAATAGATCAACGAAACGGTTGCTGTGTTCTGTCAAATCACCTGAAGCCGAACAGTCCTCCTTTTTCAGCCTATGAATGAGATTCAACGGAAATAGAAGCGATATGCGATTCTTAATGGATTTCTTTTTAAAAGGGTCCTGACTAAAATATCAATACGTCCTATGCTTCCATGACCTCACATTTCCCGTTCGCTTTTCCCATTTTCGCCGGAAGCTAAATTCATCATCCGAGTAGCCGCCATCGTAGAAGGACCCGCTTTCGCTTCTGTCGCAATTCCATCCAGATGTAAAGAAATCTTCAACTTGTTGATAAACCTTTGTCAATCTCTTTTTAAGCCAGTCGCTATGTCCTTGGGCCTTGTCTTGCTGTACAGGATGACTTTTCTTATCAACACTTGGCATTCTTTGGATAGAACGAGCACGTTGAACGGCCAACGTCGAGTGAATCAAGACGTATAAAAAGTATGTGGACATGTTGGGAGCAGCGTTCTGATCCAAGAGGAATGGTGTCCATATTGCTTGGTAAAAATGTTGCGTCACAAATATCGCGCAGAAGAGTTCTGCGAAGGACCATGCTTTGAGCTCGACGCAGATCAGCACGCATCGCAAAAACACATTCGCGATCATAGTCACCATGAGCCCAGCTAGAAAAAATATAGAGATGCCAACGTGGTGAGATGCTATCAAACGGATTGGGCCACCCTCAACTACCATAGCACTTAAGAGTATGAATAACCATAAAGCAACAAATGCCACATCTGTTGTAAACAGCACGCGAGGTAGAGTGATTCTGTGGTGAACGCTTTGCAAGCACTGAAAAGATAAAAGCAGGACCGATATTCCTATACCGTAAAAGACCAACACCACGAGAACAGAAGATGGACCGGATAGATTTTCTATGTTCTTCTGCAAAGCCTCAGCTTCCTCCCAACCAAGCTGCAGTTCGGGGATAATATTATCAATAGCTTTGGTCGCGAGTTGTTGGGAAACGGAACCCATCCTTTCAGCTTCATTCATGAGAACTTGTTCGAAAGAAGGGTGTGACAACCTCCCTTTGAGAACTTGCTCCTCCGAATGTAAATATTTCACTTTTCGTTCTAGTTCAACCATATTCTCCTTGAGCTTCTCTGCTTGCGTAGAGAGAAGTTTTGCTTGGATTCGTTTTGACTCCAAGTCTGCCTTTGCGCGTGCCAGCTTTTTTGCCCTTGCGTCTTTTTGTTTGGTTTCCCAATTCCTGGCGTTGTCCACTTTTTTGAATTTGCTTTCAAGCTTTCTTTCTTGTAAGTGAAGTTGGTCAAGGTGCCCGTGAAGAGATGCGACATGCTTGTCGGCCGCTGCGTTTTGCTGCCGAAGGTCATTCTCGACATGCAGTAAAGTCTCGATGTCCATTTGACCAATTTCGACATCTGTTTCAGAGACCAAGATGATCAAGCAGTCAGCAAACTCATACCTCAACTTCAAAGATGGTTTCGCCACGCCACAACTTTTGAACCTTACCTGTATGGTCAACGTGGAACACATGGGCATCGCAAACATATAGAGTCCCGGAGAGAAGCACATACTGCAGCACCAAGGACAGGAAAATCGGGACGAAAGATCTGGTCAAACATTTCATAGCAACAAGCGTCACGTAGAAAAGGCACAGGATTCTCTATTAGCGATATCCCTGCAAGGTCACTGTCCTCTTTTCCCTCTCAGGATATCCACAGCCAGTTCAACAGCTCTTTGCTCAGAGGCCAATTCTTAGTGTGGCGTTTCTCAGAAACCTCTCGAGCTAGCTAAACGAGGTTGCTCTACAAATATTTTACTTGGTTTTGTATACCTAATTCGGAGCACGTGAACTTGCGATCGTCATCGTCCTGGCGCAATTATTGATTCCTATTTTCATTGCTGTGGAACAGATTCGAGGGCAGAAATAAATATTCAGTTATACAGTAGTACAGTACCTTGTCTTCTTTGTGCACATCACAGTCTCCGAGACCCGCAGCACTATCATTGGAGAGGCCAAAGAGACGAATTTGAGAGTGAACGAGACACCTCACGTCGCAGTTGCCAAAGACTTGGAGGCCCTGTCCTCCGGGTGCTGCCACACCGCTTCTTGCATGACTGTGGAGAGCACGGAATTCTCGATCAAAGCCCCTTGTTCAGTTAAGGCTACCGATCTAGGTCCCGACTCATCGCGCTCCACTCTGATACTCCCTTGCTCTTCCAACGCACTCAACTTATCAAGAGCACGGGCAAGCCGCCCCGACGCTGTAGCCCCAAAGAGATCGTGCACTTCGTCCAGACTTACGCCTTCGACGAGAAGGCGAAAAGAGTTTATCAAGTAGTCTTCTAGTCGTTCGCGATTGCTCATCTTCGGCGAATGCGGATAAAACGCTTGCGTAACGTTGATGGCTTCGAATCGATCATGGCGAGACATTTCCGGCGATTCCGCAAACTTTGTCAATCCATCCACGTACTTGACATAGTCAGACAAGCGTCTTGGACGAGCAAAGCGAAAGCCGTCGACCACGCTGGTAGCGCCAAGCCCAAAGGCGTAAAACGGCTCGTTTCGCCAATACGCCATATTATGCCTCGACCTAAACGGAGAGGAATGGGAATTATGGCTAGTAGAACGTTTCCCCGCGGTGTCCTTAGGTTGGGGAGGTCTCCTCGCAAAATTGCTAACTTCATAATGTTCATATCCTGCGTCCCCCAACACGTTAGCAGCGACGGTCATCATCTGCGCGGCGAGGGCCTCTGAGGGCAGCGGCCCCTCGCCTTGGCGATACTTGTTTCCGAAATGGGTGCCCTGCTCGAGCGTGAGATCGTACGAGGACACGTGCTCCGGGTCGAGTCGAAGTGCCTGGTGCAGGGAGGCGCGCCACGTCTCCATAGCGTGCTCCGGCAAGCCCGAAATCAAGTCGAGGGAGATGTTTTCAAAATTGGCCCCCCGCAAGGCGTCGACGGCGACGTGGATATCGCGCGCGCGATGGACGCGACGACAGGCGGCCAGCAAGTGGTCGTCGAAGGACTGGGCGCCAACAGAGGCGCGGTTGACGCCGAGCGCACGGTACTCATGCGCAGTGTGGGCGGTGAAGGTGGCGGGGTCCATTTCGCACGTGACCTCTGCGTCGGGGGCCAGGCCGAAGCAGCGGCGGACGAGGCGCAGGACGCGGGCGAGGAGGTCGGGGTGGAGCAGCGACGGGGTGCCGCCGCCTAGGTAGAGCGTGGAGAGCGGGGCGCGCGGGCGCGACGGCCAGCGCGAGGCGACGGCGCGGATCTCGCGGCAGAGGACGTCGACATAGTGGAGATGCGCCTGCGGCGGCGGCGGGTGGTGCGTGCCCGCCGGCAGCGAGGCGCGTCCGGACACCACGACCGGGAAGGCGCAGTATGCGCAGCGCTGCGCGCAGAAGGGCAGGTGGATGTACGCGGAGGTTGGGGCGGACAGGGAGGCGATGGGGGGGCGCAGGAAGGCAGCGGT